AATCTGGCTCCATGGTCTCTCATCACCTGGTGACAAGGGAGTAGGAAACGGCTTCCCTGCTAATCGGGAGGCCAGGTGACGAGTTATTACACACCCCCTGGCTACCCGGCTAATTGGGAAGCTGGGAGGCAAGTCATTACATGCCACTCAGCTTCCTTAATGGGACTTCTGATATTGGTACTCGGTATCGGCAAGTACCGAAAAAAAAAATATTGATGCTCGTACTCGATACCAAAAAAAACAATATCGGTGCATCACTGATAGGAACATTTGATTTTGCCTCATATTCACACAGAAGAAACATTCTCAGAGACGCACATGGCTTTGCAGACTGTTAATAAATAGACCCCTAAGAGACTTTTATCAAATAGGACTGCCTGTCTTTTCGCATTACTCTTTGCCTTTCTGAATAAGGCTGTCATTTTTTTCCACACCATATCAATACATATAGTGTGAAAGTAGATGCATTATGACATTATGACAGACATGGATGCAATAGATTCAAATTGGGAATTAGCCAAATAAAGGAAGAGAATGTTCTTAGCCTGGGTGTATGCATTCTTGTACTGCTGTAAATTGAACTTTACACAACAAGTAATCTAGCAATTCAGATGTTGTAATACTGCATCTGATTATTTGTTCATAGTGATGGCAGTGCAGAATACAATTCCACGACAAAACCTTTTGTACTGCAAATGTTCCTCTATGTTCCTATTACATTAGAGGATTGTATGTACTTTGAGAAATGTAGTGTTCAGAAATGTTAATTCCTTGAGCACTGATATTAGAACACACAGAGGGATTAACGTGAGATGGTATTTCATGTAAACTTGGCAATCACTGAAATGGATGGACTGGAACGCAGTCTCACTGAATTTTTTGTGCCTAACTTGCTCTCATGGAAGGCTTCACCCAGAGGCGGCTCTCTAATTAGGCGAGTTAGGCGGTCGCCTAAGGCCTCACGCTTACGAGGGCCTCGCGGCCGCCTAACTCGCCTCTGCAGATTTTAGCGGAAACAATTTCCAAGTGGGCAGAATGCGGTGCCCGCGGCCTCCGCAAATCCCCTCCCCATCTGCCACTGCGGGGAGAATAGTGTCGGTGCCCGCAGCCTCAGGACAAGCCCCGCCCCTCCCCACCGGCCACTGCCGTGTCGACAGAACACCGGCCTCGGTGACAAGCCAAATACCCTCCCCATCTGCCACTGCGGGGAGAATAGGGTCGGTGCCCGCAGCCTCAGGTCAAGCCCCGCCCCCTCCCCACCGGCCACTGCTGCGTCGACAGAACACCGGCCTCGCGGGGAGAATGGGTTGCCCGCAGCCACAAAAGTTCCGCCCCCCCCATCTATCACTGCCTCACAGGGACAATGTGGTGCCAGCAGCACCACTTCCTTCTCTGCACAGAAAGAGCGTGCCATGGACTTGCAGAGGCTTTGGAGGAGGCCGATAACATCAGGGTGAAGAGCAGCAGGTGCATGGAGTTCAGGTAGGTGAAGCACCCCTCCTAAGGCTGCGTTCACACCTGGGCGTTTTTCAGTGCTGATCGAAGCGCTGAAAAACGCCCAACGCTCAAAATAGTACTTGAGCTTCTTTGGGGCGGATTTCCGCGCGGATCCATTGACTTCCGCATATTAGATTTTGTCAAACGCGCGTTTCGTGGACAGAAAATCGTGCAAAAACCATGCGGCCAAAAACGTGCGCTTGACGCGCATATTACAACCGCCCAGGTGTGAACCCAACATAAAAAAGGAAAATACATGCTAAAAAAAAAAAATGATTCTTGTTTTAAAAATACTGTTGTCAGGGCCCAGTCACACCATAAAGACTGCGTTCCAGTGCGTCCCGCCTGGCTCACTTTGTTTTGGGATAGGAGGGGGCATAGCGGTGCCATGAAGTCAGTAGCACCACATGCAACCCGCCCTCCCAGGTTTGCTGGATCAGTTGCGGCTACGCGTTTCAAGGAGCAAGTCTTCTTTTTCAAGCCGGGATGTGAGCCTCCCGCCTCCATTCCCGCCACACACCTGCTCGCCTTTCCCAGTATCAGTTCACACACTTCTGAGAGCGCACACCATTCACACTATTGAAGGATCACGACCTATCCACCTTTTGTCGATGACATCGCACCATCTCTCACTTCATGGTAAGTTGTCAGTTGCCTTTTTTTTGTCTTTTCAGTTTACACTCGGTCATCCCATGGCAGTAGCGCTTCTGTCCTCCTTTTTATCTTTTCTTTTTGATTAACGTCGGACACCCCAGTCCGCACTAAAAAGAAGCTGCACACCTAACACTAAATTCCATACCCATACGCCCTTACCCTTCGTGTATCAGGGGACAACTCTCCTAACTTTTCATGTAAAAAATCCAGCTGCCCAATACCAGTGAGCAAATGCTTCTGTGCTGTCACATATAACGCATGCCATACCACCCTAGTGTGTGATAGGAAAGCAGGATTAATTGCGTTCTTTACTACTGAACTGTGTGTTTTGTTACTGCTCTCTGCGCGTTCCTTACTTCTGCTCTCTGCGCGTTCCTTACTTCTGCTCTCTGCGCGTTCCTTACTTCTGCCCTCTGCGCGTTCCTTACTTCTGCCCTCTGCGCGTTCCTTACATCTTACCCCTTAAAATGCTTTTACCGCTCATCAGTTTAATGTTATAAGTGATTGATGGCCCTAAAATTATTGCTCTCACTGCGATGTTCGCAGCGATATGTAACATGTGCGGCACAATAGGTGCATTTTTTTTTTTTTTACACAACTTTATTGCTATCACATAGGGGGCTAAGAAGCCCCCTATGTGATAGCCAATTTACATGACAGGCCCTCTTTATGGAGACATCAGGGGTCTCCAAGACCCCTAATGTCACCTAGGGACCCCCAGAGATCTACTTCATCAGCTTCTGTAGCTGGAGAGTGACACTGAATGCAGGAAGTGGGGTAATATACATCACTTCCTGCATTCGGGGACTGAGAGGAGATCAAAGAGAGATTGTGTACCGAACTCCCATTTGATCTCCTGTCACAGAGCAGCCGTGCCGGTCCCGGCTGCATCGGGCACAGCGGATCTCAGGACCGGCAAGGCAGTGACACCTGCTCCTATACAAGTGGTCGGGCATCTCTAGAGACGCACGATCGATTGAATGTAAAGCTCCCGGCCGGCTGTGTAATTACAACGGCCGGCCGGGAAGCTACTCGTCGGGCTCCGGCGTCCTCTCGTCACAGACGAGAGGACGAGTGGATTTTTCAAGCCCTGATTGTTGGTGTTTCGTTGGGGCCCTCACGTTTTGAGTTTCGCCTAAGGCCTCACAAAGTCTAGAGCCGCCTCTGGCTTCACCCATTCCTTCTGGAAGTGTTGGAAGCCAGACCATAGTATTTGTTTTCTTTTTTGCATAAGCATTATTTTTCAAAGGCATTTTTAATCAATTTGTATTTGGGGGGTGACAGAGCTGTGAGTTTAGTGCACCTTTCATTTTCATTGAGGGTCCCCTTTATGTCTCAGAAGACCCTTGCGCTTCTATACGGTGTGCACAAATGACAGATGATTTATAAAACTTTCACCCAGCCGTACATTGGGCAAATGTCTTTCTCATGGTATAGCAAATGCTACTGGGCTCCATCTAGTGGCAGGAATGCCATGCGAAAGGCATTCACCCAGCATATGAGTGGGCGTAAATCAACCCCTTTGTGTGTACTACTTTGTTATAACCTAACAAAGGTAAATTAAATTAGATGTCTACACGTATACATTCTTTCTTGGATAGCATTTGTTGACTGGAATTGTTCCGGTCACAAACTCCTTACTAGCAAACAGCACCATAGCAAACAAACAGCTGGCAGATAGATCTGAGAACTTGACATCTGCTTTTTAAATGGAGGTGCACTTACAGAGATATTAGCCTCTAAACTGTTGCAAAGTTGACAGTTAGTCCTTCCACCTCCTCCACTTGCTTATATTGAGGCACAGACAGTCATTTAATACACTTCCAGCTAGGAAAATCTTGCAGGGTTTCCATAAGAGGACTGACTGGCTATCCTGCTAATGTCCAACCCAATAGTCAGCAAGGCAAGAGCGGTGGTCACTGAAGGTCATCTACAGAGCGCATGCACAGGTTCACACTCGGTCCAGGACATTATTGACAGACTTCCCCAATGCAATCTGCCACTGGGCAACAAGAACTAATCTTGCTTAGCAGATTTTATACATGAATAGATTTTAAAGATACATTACTAATGATGATGTTGATAGCAGTTTTTCGGGAAAGGTGGATGACAGGTTTGCTTTAAGCCAGGTTTTGCTCTTATTGTGAGCATGTTATGACGCATCTACATGAGGACCTGCCTACCTCCCCCACTCCATTCCCACACTTAGAATAACATGAGATCAAACGACAGAGGGATTTCTGGCACTCTGCTTAAACCACTGTAAATCCATAGCAATAATAAATGCCGTCACCAGTGAATTGATGTAGCAAAAGCTTTATTAAAGAAATCAGAACTTAAGCAAATCAACAAAAGAGCACATTATAATGGACATGTCAGGAGGAGCCATGGTCAAATGCTAAATCAATGTAGTGTGAATGTTATATATTACAATAACATCTGCAAATATATTGATTCTTCTGTCTCATGGTTTGGAGACGATATACTTATATTTAATGGTAAAGTGCAAGTGTTTGTCAAGTAATCAGGATAACAGCTATGGTTACTTGGTTAGCTGGCTTGGTTAAAGGCTTTGTCTGCCAAAATTCATATTTCAGTTCTTGGTAGATGCAATCAGGATGAACCCCCCACTGCCTTGCTATGGGTACTCTAACAATAAGAGCTCCAGAATTCTCAACTCCACCCAACTCCCACAGCTATTGGCCAAGATTCTTTTTTTGGAACCAATAAGGTCATTGCACAGTTGGAGTCCCTGTGACATAAGATGCCAGTAAGTAAAGCAAATCTCTAACATCCACTCCTAGAAGTATCAGTTTTGGATGGACAGGCCATTTAAACCATTTCTAACAATTACTTATATGATGGTTGTTAGTACAACTTATTTATGCTTCCTCAAGTACAATCACCCGTAATTTGCTTTGTGCTCCTGGTTGACATGTTTCATTAAGAAAGATACAGTCATAAGCTATGAGCATTGAAAGATAGGAGAATATTAGGCATTGTTCCTGGAGTGAAGTGTTGATTACTTTCTGTATCCAGATTGGTATTTCTGGTCATGGGTGGAGATCACACGACCATCACTGTCCTCAGTCCGGATTCTTACGTTATAGGAACCTAGGAAGAAGCCAACAAAGAGATTCCTTATAAGTGATATCGTTGGTGTACTTCCTTCTTAAGTAATAATCCTTATATTATATAATGAAGCTAATCCTCTACACTAAATTGGTAGAGAGAAAACAAGAAAATGTTTTCTCATTATGTGTTTACTGACAATGGGAAAAGATGGGCAGATGTAGATAAAGTGGAAGACACATGGTGGACCATAATATTCATAGTTGTATCAGATGTATTATGTATGTATGGACGTTAGTGAAGCTTTGTTACCCAACCGTTATTATTTTTCTAAATATACAGATGCATTTAACTATTTTAATTTCTGATAACCCCCCACCCCAGTACATAGCCACCTTCCACTTACTCCCCTACCACCTCATTTGAATGCTAAAAGCAAAAAAAATAACCTGTTACTTCTAGGTATGGAGTCCCAGTCCCCTGCCTCCCATGGCACAGCGCTGGTACTTGACGATTGGTCCAGATCTCTCACATGGTGGTGGGCTGAGAGTCCTCACCGCTGACTAAGTTCCAAGACATGACCAAGAGGGAGCAACTGGGTGGCAAAGAGGAAGTGAGTATGTGCTGCTGGGGGATGTTAGTGCTTTTTCCTCCATGGGCAAAACTTGGGTTTGCTTAAAGCAGAACTATCTGCTGTGTAAAAAAAGTTACTTCTGCTGAGCTGTGTGCCATGTCCAGAGTCGCTTCTCTTTTCTTTATCTGCTTCCCTCTCCCCTTGCCCATTCACAGGACACCATGTATTCTGTGAACCATTTAGGCATTCTGAGAATGAATATGTCAGTTGCCTGCTTGCCATATGGACTGTGTGGCCTCAATACTTTCCGAGTACCTGATCCTGATGCACATATAAGGATCTGTGATGTTACTCAAACTTGATTTGCTTCATGTTTGTTCTTTGAAATCAGAAATCACTCATAGCAGCTTGACAAATAGCATTTTCATTTAATGGTCAGCAATTATAACCGGCATATATCCCTTAGTATAGGTTTCCAATATCAAGTCATTTGAGCAGGGAAGGAAAGGAAAGAAAGCCTGGCTTGGTACATACTAGAAGCTGCTACTGCGACTGTGAAAATCTGGTCTGGATTCAGAATTATATTGGTCATTGTGTCCACTTTCTTTATCTTCTAGTGAGAAATTACATACCTGTTTTATCAGATTGGGAGCCTGATGAATAATCCTGGGAGCCCTTTGAAATCCTGTGGAAAAATATTTAGGCAATGAATGTTACCTATGCACAGCAGATAGTAATACATGTACAGTATGTATGTATGTATGTATTTATTTATTTATAAACTGGATTCTATGTTCTGATTCTGCTTCAGTCCTAAGAAAAAGATGTTAAAACACCTATAATGTAAATGATCACCTACACTAGCAGTAACTAATAGATCATCCACACAAAAAAAAGTTCAGGAAGTAAAATATTTTAAACAATATGACCATTTTGTATCAATTCAATGTGTTCTTACTGAAGTGGGGATATTGGACAAGATTGATATATTGGTATATTATAAGTATTTCTTTGGACAGAGTGACTCCACCTCAAATTGTTCAGAGGTATCACATTGCACTCCAAATCAACTCATAAGTAGCCTAAATGGGTGCTGAAATGGCCAACGAATGGTTCCGTAAGACTAAAGGAGATAATATGGTCACCAGCACACCAAGGTCCACTTCATCGACACAGAAAAATCTGTAACAGGGACCCAGACATAAATAAAACATTCTGATGGGGTTCTGTCTGTCCTCTATTCTATTTCTTTCAAAGTTTCTATTTGAGATTTTCCCTCAACTCCTGTCTAGTGAAATAATTGCCACAGTTACAGTAAGTGGGTGGGAACCCCCTCAGAATGGTCAAAGCAAGTTTGAAGAGCCAGGAGCTCAAAAGAAAGGATCTCACTAGTATAATTCCCCAGAGATATACGAAGCTGGTTTAAATATCCAGGTTCTACAAACAACTGGGGTATCTATTTTGTGTGGACTAATCGTTTCATCTTTTCCATTTTCATTGCCCTAAATACTGAAATACTCTTATACTGGTCAGCTACAGTCTTGACTCCTGTTCCTAAAACACAGCTCTCCCTCTGGGATGTAGAATAAGTGCCTATCTGGATAGCACTTCTACCTTCCCTTCCCTACTTCACCTTAAGCCATCACAATAGTTAGCATCTTTAGCTATTCTTTGTGTACATACTGAGTTCCCTGTCCATCCAGTAGGCTGCGGTAGGTGTTGATTTCTTTCTCTAGACGAGCCTTGGTATCTAGAAGGATCTGGTATTCTTGGCTTTGATTCGACATATCACAGCGGATGTTTGCAAGTTCTTCCTCCACTTTCTGAATCATATTCTGGATTTCTGCAAGCTTCATACAGTAGCGTCCTTCGGTTTCTGCTAGCGTTCCCTCCAGAGCAGCTTTCTAAAAGAGCGTAATTGGGAAACAAAGTTATACAGCGCACAAATTTTAAACTTCCTTACCAATTACAAAGTGGCCTATATGGTGTATCTAGAAAGAAGACAGAGGTTAAAATTCTCCCCACACCTATGAGGGCACGGAACTGAACTGCTGCTTCTATTTTTTTGTAGGCTGATATTACATTGTTTACAGAATTAAACAGCAATTCTTTAACACTGGTGTTTGTTTTATGCTATGTTATCCACATACCATGCTAATCTGTGCCTGGAGGTCAATCTCAAGGCTTTGGAAAGTGCGTCTCAAATCTGTGATTTCGGTCTGAGTAGACTTGACTTCATGTGTCTCCTTCTTCATTTTTTGACTCAGTTCTTCGGTCTAGGGAAAACAGCACCATCATATTATTGCAGTATAGAGCGAATATATTGAATATCATTTTGGATTCTATAGTGGGAGAAAATCACCTGAACACGATACCAGTCTTCCATGTCCTTCTTGTTTTTGGCCATGATGCTTTCATAATCGTGTCTCATGTCACCAAGTATTTTTTGTAAGTCAATTCCTGGTGTTGGGTTGAGGTCCACATTGACAGTGCCTTGGACCTGTCCCTGCAGTGCCTTCATATCCTGCATAAGAAACACCATTAAAATATCTGTAAGGTGATGCTACCACTGCCAAGATTCAACTTGTGTACAGTGCCATCTGGTGATAAAATGAAGTTATGTTTACAAAGTCTCATACAATCCTATGGATTTTATTTTATTTTTTTAACATTGAGCACCAAATTCAATTAAATATTAGTTCTATGATCATCCCGCTATGCCTAGTTTTGATGCAGAGGATATAATCAACACCCCAAGCTATACAGATTGCCAGAGTTTTCATGACATCAAAGAGTATAGCTCACAACTGTCCTTCATTTAAAACAAATTCCCTCTGTCCTTCTTTCTTCACTTTCTCACTTGTGCCTCATTTTGGTCTGATATAAAGACCTCTATAAAAATGCACTATTTAACTGCCAAAGCATTATGCTATACTAAACCTTTGGATTGCATAGGTGTCCATCTATCTTATCTCAAAAGGATGTGAGGTATGAAAGAATATTGCAGTAGTTCCATGTGCTAATACTACATTTGTCTTACTAAAGAGGTCATTATTGTCTGACCTCATTAATGTATGTTTTTGCCAATTACCCAGGAAAATACTGGCCCTTAAAAAGGGATTACTGAGAGGGCTTGAAACTGAAGATCTGCAATTACCATTTAAATCTGGCACAGACATCAGTCCATCAGTCACGTTTATGGGTTGCAATAAGATGCACTTTACCAAGTAACACACAGCATTCTATGCAGTACATTGCAATGCCATTTATATAGAATGGCACTAACGCAAAATGCAGTAGGTGTCAATAGATCCATACTGCAGCACCCCACAAGACACATACCATAGAGAGATGGAGGTCCCTTAATTGCTACAGGATCGCATGAAACATAGATATGTCAGTGTGAGAGAACCTGCAAAACTGTAGATTGTTATGACATTAAATCTTTTTGTACCATAACCTCTAAAACTGAGAGTATTTTTTCTTTATGAAGTAGGTTATGTTTGATAGTCTGGTGATATAACTGGGCCTCTCATCAAAACTGAGGATTGGATGATGCCCTAAATAAAGATAATTGTGAATCCCACTTGAAAACTACCTGAGCTCCCTCCAGTGTTTGCATGGTAACTTTTACTGGTAATATGCTCACTCTAGTGTCAGCTACTGGTCCCTCACCGAGGGACATAGTAATACCCCCTGTATGGATTGTGGTTACAATGATAGAAAACAGGACAATACATTACTGTTACTTTGACATATCATTACTGCAAGACACCTATTTTGGATTTGGAAGTAGTGTTTTGAATAGATGATGAAGTTCTGGAAATTTGGTTTAGGGATGGTAAAGGAATAACCACAAGAGACTCGGGAACAAAAGGGGGCTGTGAAGACACTGGAGTGTGAACTGTATCAAACACCTGAAACGTATAGATCCTATAAGGAAAGCAGCAGATATATGTAGCCTTAGAAGACTTCATTTAGACATGCATGCATACAGGTGGTGATTGGATTTGGCAAAGTTTATGATAACAGTATACTAATGACTAAAGTTTAGGAAGCACTGATCCATATTGATCAAATTTCATATATGCAGCTGGTTTTACCTCTTCATGGTTCTTCTTCAGCATGGCTTTTTCATCCTTCAGATTCTCAAGCTGTGCCTCCAGATCACTTCTGCTGAGAGTCAGATCATCCAGAACCCTCCTCAGGCCATTGATATCAGCCTCCACAGTCTGGCGCAGGAAAAGTTCATTCTCATATCTATTATTAAGACATTCTTTAGTACCTACTAAAAAGTTCCATTGGGCAAAATAAGCAACATCAACTTAACGGAATACCAAAGCACATCAATGTTCAGTAACTTCTCAGAATGTATCTTTCTCTTTTCTGCCTACAGCACACTGATGAGAGCTAAAATAACAGGTTGGTATGTGAGCATGTGACTCACTCCATGTGACAGCGCTGGCCAATCAGCACTGTTACGGGGGAGCAGTCATAGCCTTCTGTATGCTAGAACTCAAGCAACGTGTAGGTTATACAGGGATTTCCTTTCATTACAAAGGGCTGAATGGAGGAGCATGGGAGGAAAAGGAAGTTGGAGAAGTTTGCCTTGCAGTGAGCCTTTTGCTTACCCTGCATTGGCAAAACACAAGTTCACTTTAAGATGTGCCCACACCACATTACCACATTGTGGTTATCTAGTGTCCACCTAGGATGTGCATTCCACTTTCATATGATATAAATGCCAGGACTTTGTTAGGCCATACTGTTGGTGTGGCACTGCCTGTAAAAAATAAAAAACAACAGCAATGATGTAATTAAATTAAAATAACAAACCCTTTAATTGGGCCTCTAAATTAAGCTTTTTGTGACTGGCCATGTCATGATTTTAGCAGACAAAATAAAGTTTCCTTCTCATGCTATGCTCTCATTCTTCCTCCTCCTTTGCTTGCCCTCTCTCTCCCTCTCGATCTCTCTCTCTCAGAGAGAAAGAGAGAGAGGATTGGTACTGTTGTCTATCTGGGTTGGGAGCCTCTGCATTAACTAGGGGGTCACCAAAATTGCCAATTTCCCCTTTGGTCAAAATGAGCCTCAAATTTCAGCATGTGGACTGCATAGGTACACTTGCAATTGGCATGATGCTCACCTGACTTTTTTTTTGGCTTTGTTTATCTACAAAGGTATGTCAGTAACAGTTCTCACTATACTTCTACCTAGAAAAATATATATTTTTTAAGAAGGCTTCACCTAAAGCATACACCAAGCAATAAAAATAATTGTTTTATGGTTTTCTCCAGGAGCCATTTCAAGCAAATTACACCATAAAGCACACTGAGAGCTATATCTTATTTTATCACTTTTGGTCGGTTAAATATAACCTTGAAAGTATTTTGCTATATCTTTTGATAACTTGAAAAAATACCCTTTGATCTTGTAACCTGATAGCCTACTGTGCTCTTGGCCTGTGCTGTTATCAGTGCCATTGTTCTCAGCTATCTCTGAGACCTGCAGAACCACACCCTCTATGTTATGGACAATAGGAGAATGGTTCTGTGGTCCAATTTTGCTTCTGCTGTCCTAATACAGAGGGGTGATTGAATGTTGTCATCCTAGGACGGGAAGTGTGTTACTGGCAGAGTCATCAAGTAAAAATAAAGAAAAACAAGCTTGAAAAAAGAAAACTAATGCAAAATCATCTAGTGACCAGAAAGCTGCAAAAAAAATGTAAAAATAAAATTTTTGTGTTTGGATTTAAATCACCTTTAATTTCTTCCCATTGACTCCAATGCATTTTGGGAAGTTTTACCAATCTCTAGATTTTTACCAATTACTCAGTGGAGAGCAAACCATCAATTTATCTCATGCCTAGCAAACACAGTTCTTATTTCAGATACTTTGGTAAATAAAGTTAATGCTAAATAACTTGTAGCAGTATGAGCACCTAGAACTAGGCAGCTCAGAGTCAACTTTTATTGTTAGAATTTGGAAGCAGTGTGACGACTATGGTCACATGTGACCAATAACATCTTTTTTGAACAAATATTTAAAAATTTGCATTTTTACCTGCAAAATAATTGAAAATAATAAAATAAATAAAAGTATGGCACAACTTATTTTTACTTACTTGAGCTTAAAGTCATCAGCTGCCAGGCGGGCATTGTCAATCTGCAGTGTGATACGGCCGTTGTCAATGGTGGCATCGTGGATCTGACAAAAACATAAATGAACATGACTTTAATAATAATAAAACCCTGTATCTTTCATAACATGACATTCCACAATTCCAAGTAGTAGGACTTGTCCTGGAAACACATACAGAGAGGCTGCTCATCGATTTGCACCATTCAGCTCATTAACATCTAGAGAACTATGTAAAGTTTAAGGTGTTATGTTAAAACAGCATAGGGACTTACTATGGTACCCCCACCAATACCCTACAAACTTTCTGCTAATTTCAGATAAAGGTTCATGTTTCAAACAGTCATTATCCATTTCGACCTGGTGCTGTTAATCACTAGAAAGAGGCTTCTATTTCCATGAGAACAGTTTATTTTATTAAGAGGACCTCAACCTTTGTTCTAAAATCCAAGTCTACAACAATAAAAAAGAATAAGGTGAAGTAATGTTTACTGTGAATGCCCAATCTTGTGCAAGGAGAATCGGTACACATCTAAGCTGTGAAGTCTGAGCTCTACTCGGAAGGTCACAGCCACAGTGACCTTCTGAGTAGTTGCATGGTGAAGGGGAAGGATTTACAGTATACCTGAGGAAGGTAGAGAGCGACTTTAACTCTTATTATTATTTGGATGCAAGACAAGAAATAAGTTCACACAGCTGTCTTGCACAATGCAGGCATTGTGTGGTTGAGGAATGAAAAGCAGCAATTCATTATAAGTGAGACTGTATAAGAAGGAGGATGGTGCCCTCTTTCGTTTGCCTCGTCTAAGTCACAGAATTTTTCATATGACAAGAGGATCGTAGCTTAAGTTTACTTATTTTCACACTCCCTGTTTCAGGCTCAATTCACACAGCTTAATACACAAATCTTTATTTTAGTCATGTGGCTGTCATTTTCACATTTAATTGGATTTAGCTAAAAATAGCTGTCAATTGTTTTTTTTTAAAAAAAGCATCCTTAGCCTGGTGTGTGTGAATGTGAATTTAACCCTTTTTCAGGTGTATTTAGCCTTCCTTCCTCATGTACTTGCTCTGTCCTTCTGGCCCCTATCATTTTTCCCAAACGTTGATGGGGTATACAGGTGGCCCCTTGTGGGTGACAGTAATGGCTCTGGTAGAGATGGCTAAGGCTACACAGGCAATTACATCTCACTGATACTAGGAGATATAACCAATTGTTGGCAGTCATTCCATTTTTAATACATTATTTCGATAACTCTCATCAGGCTGTTAAAGCTCTAAATTCCTGCTGAACTGGCCAAAATTCAAGCTGTCGGTGGTCTTTCAAGCTCCACCGGGTTCAACAAAAGTCAGCAGGAATTGGCTGAAACCTACGCCACCTGTAGGGCCCTTAAGTCATATAAAGTTCAGCTCACAGAATGCTCAGGAGAGAAGTGGTACATGCAGGGAGACCTAGGGGTTGATTTACTAACCTTATAAACACACCACGAACATGTATACACCTCTGTAGTGTGTTCCCTCCCAGCATGATCTATGGGTGGAATCTAAACACCTTTGTAGTGTGTACACACCCAGCAGATGTGTTGTGCAAAGCCCTGCCCTGAATTGCAAGGTGATGTTGTGTAAATTAGCTCTACATTGTGTTGCTTGCGTTGATGAATGCAGGAATGTAAATGCATGAGCTAACCATTTTTGTCTAAACTGTGAAGCAGCATTATATATGCATCATGTGCATGATTTTTTCCATATATGGCATTAGTGGAAATATGCTTATAGAGACTTTTTGGTTGATAAATACGCTTTGCTGTGTAAAAATCACACGCACCTGCTGCGTGCGTGTGTTTAGGTTAGTAAATCACCCCCCTAATGTCTATTTATGTGTGCGGTTTCACCCACATTATCCTAAAATCAGACAAAAAGTATACACAGCATATATGGAATGGGAACTTGAAAAAGACTGGTGTAATTTTAAAATCAAGAATATACCCATTAAAATACCTGAGAACATTAAAGCCCCATTCTGGGCTGTTGTTAAGACAAACCATTGTGTGCAACTGCTCAAGGGCCCTCTGGGATTAGGTCTACATTTAAGCTCAAAGTATTTTAGTTTGGTGATAGAACCTCCTCCCACTATCATGTAGACTTTTCTATTGATACCATTTGGGATAGTATCATCTATTGAGGTATTGCAAAGGTTACTCCTTATCTGCACCAATAAGGACCTATACAAATAATGATCAACATAGCATTATCATCACTAATCCTAAAAACCAAACTGCCATTTCATCTATCTTTGATGATCTTGTCAGCCACTGAATCGCCCATAATATATTTACATCTCTGGAACTTCTGCACCTTAGTTCTCAGCCCCATCCACTATGTCTATGGTGTCCATTTTAACAGAATACTGTGTTTAGGAATAATAAAGGTTTAATACAACAAGCATAAAGAAAAAAAAAAACATATGTAGTGTTCATTTTAAAATCCATAAAACCATGATTAATACACTTTAATACATCTTCAGAATCTTACCTTTTTCTGTATTTCCTCAATGGTTTTGAAGTAATGACTATAGTCTTGGCTTGGCTTTGGTCCATGAGATTCATACCACTGGCGGATCTTTTTTTCTAGTTCAGCATTGGCTTGCTCCAAGTCTTGCACTTTGTCGAGGTATGAAGCCAGACGGTCATTCAAATTCTGCATGGTGTTCTTCTCATTGAAATTGAGCAATCCTTGGTCCTGTCCATACCCAAAACCACTTCCATGACCCCCTCCAATTCCAAAGCCAGGTCCGCCTCCATGGCCAAAACCAGAGCTAGCCCCAAAGCCTGATCCGACACCATAGCCAGAGTGAACTCCATAACCTGCACCACCATAACCAGATCCACCACTAAAACCAGATCCACCACCAAAGCCGCAAGCAACCCCAGCATTACCTGACCCACTACTAAAGCCATATCCACCGTATCCACCGGCTAAGCTCCCTCCTGCCCCACCACCATAAAATCCACCATGGCTTTGTGTTCCAGAACAAACTCTAACACTAGAGGCACGAACAGAATTGGAACCTGAGCTCCCTAAGCCCTTAACTCCTTGTTTTACACTCATGGTGGCAAAGAAAAGCTTTACAAGAAGATGCTACAGACGAAACTACACAACAGGATCTGAGACAGGGCCACAGATGCATGCCTTCTTCTATTGATTCCTTTTATACCAATTAGGCATTGGGTGTCACCATTTAATTGGAGTTTAGAAATCGCTGCCAATTTTCTTTCAGCACCTCTTTTTTTTTTTTACTGGAGATGATGGACAATCATTACCTGCATAGCATCTGGGTGTTATCTTGTTTACACTCCAGATGTATAGACGAGAACAGAAATTCATGCTCATCTATTTTTCCTGGAATAAAGCCTGAAGCAATTAAATCAATAACTACTGAAGTTTGGTTGGAAAAAGCTATACGCTTTGTGGTGTTACAAATGTATTTATTATAGAATGTCTCTCCAAATATCATATCAATACAAAACCAAGACATATCCACATCAGTCTTATTACTGCAAATAACAAAACCTAGACAAAATATACAGTATTTTAATGAAGGTAATCGGTACTTTTTAACAGATTAATCTACCCATAATTGATGCTTTAACATTGGAGAGATGGCTTTAAAGAGACACGGTCAGACAAAATAATAAAAAAAAAACTATTGCAACATTTTATATTATTTTTATAACACTTTTAATGATCAATTCTGCTATAGCTGACCTTCGCTCTCTTACAGAACTAAATGTGCAAGTAGTGATCATTACTGATATAAGTTCTAGATCGTCTCACTTATTTTGTCTGTCTATATCTAAATTTTGGAACGATTGTGTGCTTCTCCTAACAGAGAATGTAGAAGAAGCATGCATTCATTGTAGAAGTCTCTGGCCACAAGGTCTTACCTGATTCAGAGAAATCAATATGTCAGTGGGTGAAAAAATCCTAGAGCATCTAGCCAAATTTAGGTATCAGCTTCTTTAAAGATGCCGATCACTTGGACAGAGTTTTCTAAGTGGCAAGAAAACGCAAAGCAGCCATTAAGAAATGTCTGCTCTTCGATCATTTTATCTTCCAGAGTCTCAAAGCTGTGATGCTCAATATGCAATAAGTACTATCCTTGTTGCACTCCTTACCGATATGTCCCTTGTAGTGGGGGGTGCTCGCAGTGACCGCGGATGGCGCCGCGAATGTCAGCAAAATTGTAGAAATGTCACCAGCACACAAATCCTTTTAAGATAGCAAAAGCTTCATTTATTGAAGTTTTTTGTCATATGACCAAACAAGCGCTTTTGGGACCGCGCAGGGTCCCTTCATCAGGCTACGTCAATGCTAAAGCCTGATGAAGGGACCCTGTGTGGTCCTGAAAGCACTTGTTTGGTCATATGACAAAAAACTTCAATAAATGAAGCTTTTGCTATCTTAAAAGGATTGGTGTGCTGGTGACATTTCTACAATTTTGCTCAATATGCAATGACATCTCCCAATGGCATTTAGACTACAGAAGTCTAAATTCTGCCACCCCAACTCTATTCCTCTCTGTTCAGAAGCACACAGGGTGCAGAGATGATTGATGCTTATGTGCTGGGACATTTGCATGCAGAAAGTTCTTGATCCTTTGAAGAATTCTGTAAGATAACATTTGTGCAATCATCTCTAGGTGCCCACTATTATGTCCTCATAGGGGCCAAATGGCACTAAGTGAGTAGTTGAGCGGTACCGAGCGGAATAGAAAATAAGTGAAATGAATTTTTTTTTCAAAGTTGAAAAATTATTTTAAAAATTTAAGAAAATAGGAAAATTTAAATAGGAAAATAAAAAAATAAATAAAAAATGTTGTTTTTTTTAAAACGCCAGCATACATGCCCGCAAAAGAAGAACAATTGGGCGGAGCTAGCAGTGACAGCTAGCTCCGCCCAACTGTTTCCTATTGGCCGGCAGCTGCCAGAGTCTTCTAGCAGGTCCTGGCCTATGAATAAATACTGTTATTATTGCTTAATGACAGATCAGCATCCCCAGGTAATTTGGGGACGCTGATCTGTCATTACAACTGGGCGGAGCGAGTCCTGAGATCACGGCTGGCTCCGCCCAGCTGTCATTTGCGTGGAGATCGATTTGCTTCGGCCGATCTTTTTCCCCGCTTTGGCTGTCACTTCGGCTCAGTCGAGTCAAAGCATATGCCTTTGGCTTGGCTGCCTTCGGCTGCTGTACGAGTTCGACTGAACCGAAGGGCAGAGGCAGCCGAAGAGAGCCGAAGGATCAGCCGAAGTTACGGCTGGATCCTTCGGCTCTTTAGTGAATAACCCCCTATATGTGTTAACTACACCTCCAAGCTGAGCCATTCGATAACATTAAAACAATCCTTGCTCACTTTCATTTTACCATCAGTCATCAGTCAAAAAACTCTTGTATTATCCTGATCATGATAATTAAAAAGGTAGAGAGAGAGGGACATATAGGGAGAAAAGTGGTTCTTACCTTCTAAAGTGGACTTTTTGGGAGTTCTGCTATTCAAATAATAAAAAAAGTGCACTGCGCTATCACACGTGTAAAATACTGTATATGCTCAATGAATAATTTGTGAACGTGATCAGAAAAAAAAGCATAACAACAAATCAATCACATAATAATAATCTCCCAAACAATGAATCTATAGTTCATACGTTATAGTGCATCCAACACATTAGTATAGTGTGTCATACAATAAAAGTAAATTGAACAATATAGATAAGAACAAATGTGAAAATAGTGCTTCAATTGTCCCAATTATCTTCAAAACAGTCACAAGAACTAATATCAATATCCTAAGTGAATAATCTTCTTCAAAAAACGCTGTGCTTCACCATCCAAACAGTGATCCCTACTACCAGGTGATCCACATGCTTATCCTTTTCCACACTCACCCAATCTCCATGACCCTCTATAAAAGATGGCCATAGACAGCAAGTTGTGATAATCCTCCAATGGTTAAACCACAGGCAGTCCTCTGTTCCCTGCTGTTAACCCGGCTATTCATCCATATGTACTCCACCAAAAGACCTAGATCCGAGAGCATAAATGGAGATGGATTGGACATGCCTTATGAAATGGTGGAAATGAGATCTGTAGACAGGCGCTCGATTGGAATCCCCTTAGGACAGCACAGGAGAGGCAGATCCAGAGGCTCCCGGCAGCAAAGCCTATATGAGGATATCAAGGCTGTTGATGTGAACCTGACCTGGCTGCAGGTCAAATCAAAAGCTGGGAAAGGTCAACAGTAGAAGTCTTCGTCCCTAAGCTCCTCAGTGAAGCAGGATATATAACTAAACTAACTAATGGCATAACACATATATGTGGCATCACAGAAGAGGGCCATATATGTGGCATGTTTTTGTTTTGCAAGCACACTTGATCATGCTTCCCAACGCTGGGACCAAGCAGTCACTCACAGCTCCTGGTCTTATACTGACAGGCGAGATAAAACAAAAAAAGTAAAATGTGATCTATTGTTTCTGGGCCCTTCTATGGGTATAAGCAAAAAATAATGCTTACATATGTGGTATTCCTATGTACATCAGGAGTAGGACAGTTTGCTATTTTTTTGGTGTGGATCATGGCAATAGCAATAAATATACAGCTAAAAAATAAAAAAGGTTTTTACTAGTTTTGGCCAGTAGTCCTTTGATACAAAATCAGGAGATTAACATTTATGGATGCCCTAAGGGGTTGATTTATAAATTGCTCACACAGCCATTTGCTTTGCGAAGGAGATTCACTGCGCTGTATGGCCACTAGATGGAGCCGAGGAATATAGAAATTTCCTATGCTCTTCAGCTCCATCTAGTGGCCATACAGTGCAGTAACTATCGTTCACACAGCAGAACTCCATGCGAACAGTTTAGAAATCAGCCCCTATGTCAGCGGTTCTCAACCTGTGGGTCGCAGCCCAGTCAGGGGTCGAATCACGATTTGCCAGGGGTCGCCCGGGAGTTGGCCGCCCGAGAGAGAAAAACTTTCTCCCGGAAAGATTTACTCTGCTCAAGCAGAGTAGATGTTTCCCTGTGATTTTTTTTTTTCTGACATCAGGGGCTGCCATAAGTCAGAAAAAAAAAAACACCATAGGAATTCATAGCTAGATTCCTATTGGCTATTTCACTTTGCAATAGCCAATAGCAAACTAGCTATTGCACCCGCCCTCTGCTGCTGCCAATCAGCAGAGGGGACCTGCAGTTCTCCATCAGGTCCTCTTCTAGTGATTGACAGCAGCAATAGTGGGTGCAATAGCTAGTTTGCTATTGGCTATTGCAAAGTGAAATAGCCATTAAGAATCTAGCTATGCATTCCTATGGTGGTTTTTTTAAAAACATTTTATTCTGATGGCGTACGCCAGTGGTTCTCAACCTCTGGGTCGCTGTGTGATTTCTTCTGTGCTAGGTGAGAGTCCTCCTCGCCCTCTCCTAGCGTAGCAGTGTCAGTTCTCCCGCCACTCCGCCAGATGTCACTGCAGCAGCCGCGTCATCCCTACATTTTACCGTTGGGGTCACCACAACTTGGCAAATGTTACCAAGGGGTCCCGGCCCTAGAAAGGTTGAGAACAACTGCCCTATGTAGTTGCGAGGATATGTACAGTTTTACTAACACATGCCAAGGTGGAAAAACAGGTTTCAGGCATTGAGAGTTGTTTTTAGCTTCAACATTATAGGGTTAAAAAGAAGTAAACAGGGGTGTCCATTTTTCTTCTAATTTACTATAGATATTTAGAACCTCTGTCAAGTTTTTTAGCTGTTTGTGTTCTTGCTAGGGAGATTTGCCATCTCTATTTGTCCTGGTATGAACCAAACATATTTACAACAAGCCAGCTTGGCTGTAAATATGTTGGTTGGTTACTATGGGAAACAGTCACTTTTCTTTCTGACACTTAATTACATAAGGCTACAATGAACATAGATGAGTGTTATTTCACAATCAATCGGAAAATCCCTTGAGAACTAATTAGAACTGCCAATGAACGTTAATCTATGCATAGTCTGAGCAACACTTACAGTCTATTTTATAGGCGTCTTCTGATTTCAGATAGGGCTGGACAAGTATCTCCTGGAAGGAATGTTGCTTACTGTGGTACATTAGCAATATGTTGCAGAAATGGCTCATAGTTACTACAATAAATGT